CCGGTCAGTGATGACCGGACGCAGGTCAGAGTCCAGTCAGAACTTAACGGCTCTTTCTGACACAGTGGCGGGTATAACTGACCGGAGCATCCGGTCACATTGAAAGGAGCGTCCGGTCACCCCGCAGAACACTGACTCAGCCTCCAAACATTATGTTTTGAATGAGGGGGTATAAATACTTACTCCACTCGTCCAAGGGAGGTCTCTTACCCATTTGTTCAGCTGAGAAACACCTTGAGAGTGCAAGGGAGAGCAAGAGCCTTGTGAGGTGATTGAGATTTGAGAATCCAAGATTAAGGTCCTCATTACTGCAAGGAGAGTAGCAAGTGTGCATCCACCATTCTCGTTAGGCTTGTGGTGGTCAAGTGAGAGTTTGTGCTTGTTACTCTTGGTGATCGCCATCACCTATATGGCTCGGTGGTGATTGGGAGTTTGGTGATCATTCGGTGGAGCTTGTGGATGACCCAACTCAAGTTGTGTGTGGTTGTGGGCGATTCACTGCGATGGAGAGTCGAAGAATCAACCCGTAGAGAGCACTTGATCCTTGCGCTAATCAAGAGGGAGCTACACCTTTGCGCGGGTGCTCCAACGAGGACTAGTGGGGAGTGGTGACTCTCCGATACCTCAGGAAAACATCGTCGCGTTCCTTTCCCTCTCTTTACTTTGAGCAATTCATTTCTTGTCTTTACATTTCTAGAATTGCCATGCTAGAGTAGGATTGGAAACTAGGATGCAAACCTTTTGTGCGGTAGAACAATAGAAACACATTCTAGGCACAAGGAGTGAAGTTGGCTAAGTGTTGGGTTTAATTATTGCTAAAATTTAGAATTAGCCCAATTCACCTCCCTCTTGGGCATCTTGATCCTTTCACAGGGTACAAGTGTTGACAGTCGTCGAAGGACATAGGGATGACTTCCTAGACATCCCCACTCCTGACGGTGTCGAGAAACTCGGTCAACCTATCAATGAGTTCATCTTATGGCCTTGACGGGACATTAGGTTGAATGATCATATTCCATCGATGCCATTTTTCAGAGTGGACGATGAAGGAGGGTTCTCACATGCAGCCTCGCCATCTCATCATACGCCACCATCTCATGACGCACCACCATCACCATAACCTAACCCACCACCATCATTTAGCCTCCACACCAACTCGGAGCCTCTACCTAACCCACTAGCATCGACATCCATGAACCCACCATCATCCTCGAGCAAGAAGGATGCCTCATCGGAACCTAAAGGCCATGTAGCTAAAGGAAACCTTTAGTCTGTGCCAAAAATGGTTACGCCCTTAGGTAAGGATGAGACATCACCAGGGGCCATGAAGAAGTGGATGACCGGATTGGCAAGGAAACCAAACACACGTTCCAGTCGTTAGAAAGCTGCCAAGTCCGCCTCCAACAAGATCACCATTCGGAAGCCTACAAGAGAGGATTACAATAATATCCCCACCGATAAATATGTTCCAGGCAGGCCTCTACTCCAATGGTGCGAACTCCGTGGTGTTTCACGTGCGATGAAGAGGTTGCATGACTGGTATAAGAGAGCATCTTCGGTTGAGATCAATGCCTTCTCCGCAGATGTACCACCACTAGCTTTTATGGGTGGCAATAGCAAGATTATTGTTGACTTCGAGGACATTTGGTTGATGTTTCGCCTCAAAAAACTCGACATCCAGCTCGTAAGTGTGTGGTGCATGTAAGTGTCGCTCATACATAACTATGTTTTATTACTAATTAATATAATATTAGGGCATGAAGTATCTGACAATGTCATGCGCTCTACAGAATGCAACAATTAGACCAGGAGATGCGGTATACTGAGAACCCGTTTCTTCATGAGGAGAAAAAGGTTGGGTATCTTGACCCGGCCAGAATAAGCCAGAACGAGCACACAGTGGTTATGGGTCCTGACCACGACGTATTTGTGGGAAAGACCGATGATGAAATAGCCAAAATTAGAGTGGAGGAGCAATAAAAGCAGGAAACAGCAATGGCCACCTACATAGGAAATGTGTTTCTTCAATTCAGAAACAGGAGTATTGTATGTGCACCATACATGTTCAAGTATGTTGGTCCTAAACTCCCTCAATAGTTTTTATTTATAAACTTACCACTATCTTAAAACACGACTTCATTAAATTCGTTAAGTGATCATTGGATTTGTATATTCATTTATCTCCATGAAGGGCGACTTTTGGTCCTTGACTCCACAGATTTCCCACAGAGCAGTTATCAAAAGTTCATCGATATTTTAGATCAGCAAGTCAAGATTTGCATGCGTGCTTTTCAACATTTCTATATCATATACGAGAGTTTGGATCGATATGACTTGTTGAATTCATTAGAGCAGTGCAGGGCATACAGGTTCTACAAGTTCAAGGGTGGATGCTACGATTTAAAAAAGCCAAAAAACCGCTACATGTGCCGATTAACTTTAAGGTAAATTTTAAATAAACATACATATTCGTCTTGTATATATATATATGTATACGTAGCAACTATGTAACCACTTGCCAATTCTTATATAGTGCCACAAGCAACCACCAGGAGTGCTCTCTGGGTACTATGTGTGCGAGTTTCTCAGAGAAAAAGGGAGATACACTAACAACCCTAGCAAAGTAAGTAATAGTCATAAGTGATGTTTTGTCACTACTGATGCCTTATCCGTATTGGTTAGTTGTAAATGTATGATGACTTATTATTTTTTTGCAGGTATACAAGTGTAATCCCACGAGTGTACGCCTCCAGAATGGTGACCTCATGGCCATTTGCGAGGACTTCTGCCAGTTCATCTTGAAAGAAATAATTCACTTCAATGGAAAGTATTTTGATCCACAGTCGGAATTAGCTTAACCACAGTACCGAGATCTCGTAGATATTGCCAAGCTAGAGCTAAACCACGAGGATTATTAGAGAAGTACGTCATGGGACCGAGCTAGCTATGAGTGGAAGAAACTTCATTTGTTTTATGTATATATTATTAGCGTGTGATGACTTTGGTAGACTGCAACAAATATTGCTTTTTTCGTGCATGCAAATATAATTTTCTATGATTTCTATTTGGATTTGTTTCAATTTATATACAATATTCACTGGCGGGAAATATATGGCGGGAAATAAAAAATATTTACTGATGGGAAATATATGGCGCCAAATTTTGAATTTTTAAAAACAATTCACTAGCGGTTTTGCTAATAAACCACCTGCGGAAAAATTATTTCAGAGGCAGAAGATTTAGGTCAACCGCCTGTGCTAAAAACGTTACACTGACGTCCGACTTAAACGAACCACCAGTGAAAATGCTTTAACACTGAAGGATTGTTTACTACAACCGCCTGCGAAAATACTATTATCACTGGCGGTTGTTTAAGAGGAACCGTCAGTATAAATTTATTAACACTGGCCCATCTTGACTAACCGACTGTAGTATTTTTTTCTTTTCACTGGCCTATGTCACTGGCGATGGGTTTAGACGCCAGTAGAAATGGCTCTGGAACTGCCCGTGCTGAGCTCCAGTGCACTAGTGTGTATTTCTTCTTTTAGCCTACCTGGGTAGAGGCCAAGAGTGATCCTAGTGCTACTGTATCTTCCTAAAGTAATCAATTGAGATGAATAGAGCTTCTTTTATCGAAAAAAGCCAAATTCCATTACGAAAACAAAAGGATAATTTCAATTCTTAGTTTTTGATACAGTTACGTTAAACACCACATCCTTTGTTTTCACATATGCTTGTCTAGCGACTCGACCTCATATTATTTACTGCTTTAACATTCAGTAAATGCCATTCTTCTACACCAAAAAAGAAAACATCAAGGGTTATCTGACAAAAGGGCATTCTGCCTAATAAGGCGGATACTTACACTAAATACTTGAACATTTGGTCTTATCCATCCTAGCAAAAAGATGGAACAGATACACTCGCGATTACCGAAATGATGAAACATTAAGTCAACCAACTTAACAAACAATGGAATTATTTGTTTGATGCTTTTTAGTTGCTACATTACCTGAATTTATAGGTACATTGCCTAGGTCCGGCATTGCATTACTAGTGCCACATGACCTGGTTTTGTAGACCTGCGGCTAACATATGAACCTTACTAGCTCCAAATACTCCATTCCAAAATCCACTATCCTACAAAATAAGCAGTGTCAAATAGCAATGCAGCCTCACCTTGGGTGCCGTTCTTTTGGATCAGCTGCGTTCTTGTTTTTTCAGTGCTATAATTTTATTGCTTGGTAGAGTCTATTTTGTCCAGCATCTCAGCCGCTAGCACAAAAAGCCCAGGACCACCGTGCGCTTTCACGGTCTGTGAGATTTCATCGCCTGACTGCCCCTGTGCGTGATCACAAGCCAGGACTCAAACACGAACAACAAACAAGACAACACAACAATTTATAGGTCACATGCCTTCCAGGACTCTTGGCTCCTTCCTCCCTGGGATGGTGCCAGCCATTTCACCCCAGGAGGATGCAGCCAAATTGGCACACAGGGTTGCAGGTACACTTGGAGTCACAAGGGCCCTGTTCGCTTGTTGGTTTTAGCCAGCCCTTTATCAGTCATGATACAGTGTTTTTCTCTCACAACAAACTAGCACCAGCCGGTCTTATCAGCCCAGAAACTAACCAAAGAACAGGTTGAAGGTCTCCACAAAAAAGTGTTGCAGGAAACGGCTGCATTCACATTCACCTATTGGTCTACTACCATGTAGAGGCTAGAGCGCATCCAAGTCGGCATCCAAACAATGCACGCTTTTCAAAGCGGTGGTAACGACACATCATTAGCGTACAAGATCTCATGATCCTAGGCATGTGCTTCCTAAGATCAATGATTACTAGCTAATTACTAGAGCCTAGCTCAGATGCTTTCTAAGATCAGTGATTACTGACTGGTGATCCTAGACAGGTAGCTAGGCTACAACAGGCCCATGACACACTGTCAGGCGTGTGACTCTTGCATGAAACAGTTACAGTGGATGGGTGTTTGCACCTACATCAGATGGTGCCCAGTTCTTGGAGCAGCTCCGCCATCGTCGGCCTCTGGTCCGGGTTCTCGCTGGTACAAGCCAAGCCGATCGTCGCCAGCTTGGCGGCCTCAGACGCCGAGTAATTCCCCTGCAGATTGCCGTCGACGAGCTCATCGACGTTGTCTGGCAGCTGAGTCGTAGTCACCTTCCTCTTGCCGGTGAGCACCTGGAGCACGATGACCCCAAACGCGTAGACGTCGCTCTTCTCCGAGAAGCGGCCCACGGTGGTGTACTCCGGCGCGAGGTACCCCATGGCGGCGCTGGCCTTGAGCGTCGAGAAGACGAGGTCGTCCACGAGGAGCTTGTGCAGGCCGCACCCGGAGATGAGGGGCCTGTACGTGTAGTCCAGCAGGATCTTGTCCGCTGAGATGTTCTGGTGGACGAGAGCGGGCTTGTTCGTCCTTGTGCTGTGCAGATACTCAATTCCTAGAACACAAAAGATGCAGAATTCAGACGATTGAAAGTGCTAAAAGTTACCGATATCTCATACTGATACGTAGCCCGTTCGGCTGGGATGGCTGGCTGGCCAGCCCTCTCACGCGGGCACTGTTTATATGAACCGTGTCTTCCAGACAGAAAGTATTTTCTCTTACCCAAATCAGCCAGCAATATTTTCTCACGAACCTGCGACAAACACGCCGGCCCAGCCGAACAGGCTGACGGTTACTCTGATAAGAGTAGCACGGAAAGTTTTGAGACATGTCATGCAGAGCTTTTCAGTGCAGACAAAAGTTCAGACTTCAGAAATGACTATTGCTGCGTCCCTGGCCAGCTCACAGTCACAGGTTTCTGCACACCATGTGAGCAACCAGCGCAGCACGGATGAACCGATGTACTGTCCATCCAGTGACCGAACGAATCAATGCGCCCATGCATGACACACAAACTTGGCAAAGGGCTGGTTTAGTTGCCCCCAATTCCAGAATTTAGCACTGTGCAAAAAGAAGATTCTCCGTCACATCAAATTTGCGATACATGCATGGAGTACTATATGTTGACGAAATCAAAAACTAATTGTATAGTTTGGTTGTACTTTACGAGACGAACGTTTTAAGCCTAATTAGTCAACGATTGGACAATTATTATCAAATAAAAACAAACGCTACAGTAGCTATAGTGCGCCCCGAATCCGGCGGCGCCGATTCGGTGGCCGAACTAAACGCGGCCAAATTTGTAGAGTCGGTGCCAAATGTTGCATGCATACCATGTGTTTTGAGGCAAAATCTAGTAATCAAGAAGACAACTAGGCCCTTGTTTAGTTCCTCAAACTCCCAACTTTGGCACTATGCAAAAAGAAGATTTCCCGTTATATCAAATTTATGGTACATGCATAAAGTACTAAATATAGATGAAATAAAAAATTAATTGTACAGTTTATTTTAACTTTGCGAGACGAATCTTTTAAGCCTAATTAGTCAATGTTTGGACAATAATTCACAAACCTAGTAGTATGTGAACAAGTATGAACAGTACTACGTGTGAATCCAGGAAAGATGTGGGCATCAGCAAACCACTAGTGGGGGATCAGTAGTGACACTGCTAACCAACTGAAAGCAAGAGAGTGACAGGGTGTGGTGTTCCACTCGAGGGTACCAACCTTTGGCGATGCCCTTGATGATGGAGATCCTCGTGGACCACTCGAGGACACGGCCGCTGCCGCCGCCGGCAGTGTCGGCGTCGATGTCGACGTCGAGGAACTGCGACAGGCAGCCGTTGGGCACGAAGTCGTAGACGAGGAAGCACTCCCCGCGCGCCCTGGAGCAGCAGAACCCCCTCAGCGCGACCACATTGTCGTGCCGGAGCTCGGCGAGCAGCCTCAGCCCCCTCAGGAAGTCGGCCTCCTCCTGCCGGCAGCACGTCTTGCCCAGCCGCTTCACTGCCACCGAGGTGCCGTCGCGCAGCGTGCCCCTGTACGTGCCCGCGAGGCCGCCGGCCTTCTTGCCGCGCCTCCCGAGGAGGTTGAGCTCCGAGAAGTAGCGCGTCGCGGACTCCACTTCCTCCGTGCTGATCCGCAGGCTCTGTGCCAGCACGTCCTGCGAGAACAAGCCCAGCCCGCCGCGCGCGTCGGCCAGCGGGTCCCAGGCGTTGGAGTACTCGAGGCTCGCCAGCGCCGACGACGCGCTCTTGCGAGCCGACGGCGACGCCTTCGCCGCCGAAGGCGCGGCCTCGGTGCTGCACCGGCCGCCGGAGATCGAAGACGGCGAGCCCCCCGCGGCCCTCTGCCGGCGCCACCGGCGCCACGAGAGCGCGAACAGGGCGACCCCCGTGGCCGCCAGGAGGGCCACGGCGGCGACAACCACTGCCGCAAGCGCCCTGGTAGACGGCGCGCGCCCGTCGCCGCCGGAGGAGGACGTGACCTGCGGCGCGATGCCTGCGCTGAAGGGCTGGGGCCTGTCGGGGTCGATGAGGTCCGCCGGGGCGCACGGGCGGAGCGCGGGCAGCCTGGCGCCGCACAGGTCGCTGTTGTTCCCGTACTGGAAGCCGGCCTGCAACTTGGCGGCCAGTTCTTGGGACGAAGCAAGTAGAAAACCAATCAGCATTACTGCTCTCAAGAGTCAAGAATCGATCGATGCAGACTAATGGAGGACGGAGGCATTACCGGCGGGCACGCTGCCGGTGAGCGAGTTGTTCCTGACGTCGAGCGCGACGAGGCGGGGCAGCTGCGCGAGCCTGACGGGGATGGAGCCGAAGAGGGCGTTGAAGCTGAGGTCCAGGCGCGCGAGCAGCGGCAGGTCGCCGAGGCTGGCCGGGATGGCGCCGTTGAGGCGGTTGGACTGCAGGGCCAGCACGGTGAGCCTGCTGAGGTTGCCCAGCTGCGTGGGGATGCTCCCGGTGAGCTGGTTGTAGCAGAGCTGCACCACTGCACGGCCATGGACACATCAACAACAGCAGTATTAACAAAAACCGTCCGATTGGGGGTAGTACTGATTTGGTATGACCGTATGAGTAGAGGGGTAGCAAAAATGGGAAAGCCGCAGGTGTGACTTGGGACAAATCTGAAAGGAAATGTTGGCAATGAGCCAAGAAATGTTGCAATCTGAGCAACAGGAGCTGCTTCTTGCTTGATTGCGACTTGGGACGGCAACATGACCTCTTCCAAAAATTCAACGGATACATGGTACGAGTAGTTAGGTAAAGCTGCATTTTAGTTTTTGATTTGATTGACTTGGAGTGGAGAAACGCCAAGCAAGTCGACCGAAAACGAATTAAAAACACAGGGAGGGAAGCGAGCGAACCAATCATCGATCCGAGGAGCAACTGCAACGCAGGCAGAGTCCACGGCGCGGCCACATGCATGCCGATGCGAGTCAGCGAGCGTGCGGCACGAGCAGGGTGGCGATGAAGGTTCCGAGGAATCTCGACGCGCATCTGACTAGATAGAGGTAGAGGTAGAGGCAGTACCTTGCAGTGACGCCATGGCGCCGATCTCCGGTGGGATGGGCCCCGAGAAGTTGTTGACGTCGAGGTAGAGGTCGGTGAGCGCTGCGAGCGCCGCCAGCTCCCGCGGGATGCCGCCGCGGAGCGCGTTGTAGTGGAGGTAGAGGCCGGTGAGGGAGCGGAGCCCCGCGACGGCGGGCGGGAGCGTGCCGGCGAGCCCCTTCCCCTGAAGCGAGACGTTGGCGACGGCGCCGCGGGCGTCGCACGCGACGCCCTCGAACCCCCCCGACGGCGGCGGCGCGCAGGGGTCGCGGCCGGGAGCCCACGACGGGAGCAGGCGACCCGTCAGGTCCAGCGCGGCCCCCAGTGCCAGCAGCGCGCGCACCTCGCCGTCGTCCGCCGCGCGCGCCTCCTGGCCCGGGCCCAGGGTGAGGAGAAGGAGGAGGAGGAGGAGGGAGGCGGCGAGCGCGACGAGGCGGGCGGAGGCCATCGCCCCCCGCGGCGCGCGCCCGGCCTGTTGCGCGTGTGAGCTGGGACGGAAAGGACAGGGCGGCGCGTGGTGCTTGGTGCGGGTGGGCGAGGAGGGAGGGAGACAAGGCGAGGGCGTCCGGGCGTGGGCGCGTGCAGGTGTGAGGGCTTTCGAGGAATGGAATGGCTGAATGGGCGCAGGCAGCTGACCTGAACGGAGCGAGACCCTGGTAAACCGTACTTTTTCGACTAAGGCCTCGTTTAGATTGTATCTAAATTCTAAGTTTTTTTACTTTCTTTTCATATGTATAAAGTATTAAATGTAGGTAAAAAAATAACTAATTACATAGTTTGGTTATAAATCATGAGATAGATCTTTTGAGCCTAGTTAGTCTATAATCGGACAAAATTTATCAAATACAAACAAAACGTACTACAGTATCCAGGTTACAAAAATTTGCAATGTAAACAAGCCTAACAAATAGCTGCGGCCCCCGAGCCGAGAGGAGCGGTCGGGTCAGCCGTGACCGTGACCGTGACCGTATGGAGCTGTGGGGCTTGCATGTCAGTGGGTGTGTGCTGCTCCGCTGGGACAAGAGTTTGGCACGAGCGAGCAGTGTACGTACGGATACGTGACAAGTACCCACCACAGCCTTGCATGTGAATATGTGATGTGACCAATGCAAAAGTTAAAATAGGGTACCTTCTGTTTTGTATTTCCCGGGCTGGCCACGGTTCATCTTGATTTAATAATAATAAATAAAGGTGTGTTTAGAATCGTTTAAAATCAAATTGCCGGTTGTCTCACCTCGAGAATCAAGAAAATCGTGCCAAACACCCCAACTATAATTCAATGATTTTTTTTCCATCGCTGGAGACACATAGACCTCGAGATTGAACTAGCGCCCGCTTCTTCTCTACCACGGGGACGCGGCGCGGAGGCCGTGGTACAAATACCACACCGCACCATGGCTAGGACGCAGACCCAAACACGCCCCCAAAGTCTTCAACTTGTTTGAATGCTTGATCTCCGGTCAACTACGTGGAGTTCGATTCAATTACCGCCCAAAGAAGGTATCGGTGCATTACCACACTCGCTGGCTCACATTTCGTTGGTCCCTAACTCGTAACTGGAGAGATTAGCGAACAAAATCAAATAAAGCCAGGGTTGAAAGTATGTTTTTGAGGGTGGGACAAGAGGTTAACAACGACCCATGGCAGCAAGCTGCACCGTCTAAACTATGCTATCACCCTATTTATTTGGACTTGTTTGATTTATAAGCCATACTTTTTCAACCAATAAATAGTATTTTTCTCTCACATCAAATTAGCCAACAGTCCTTTCAGCCATGGCTTATCAGCCAAACAAACACAATCGAACAAGGCGTTATGACGTCGCAGCGTTTAGCGACGAATCCAATATATGTCGTGTCGCAGCATGCAGCTTGTGTCCGAGAATCCGACTTGGAATGCCAAACCTTTGTTGCATTGCCTGCGACGTTTGGGGACTGGGGTTTAGCATTGCCAAAGCTGAGCTGCCAGTATTGAGGTGGTGTTTAGAACTAGGGCGTAAAAATTTGAGGTGTCACATCGGATGTTACATGGAGTGTTACATGGGATATTCGGATACTAATAAAAAAATAAATTACAGAATCCGTCAGTAAACCGCGAGACGAATTTATTAAGCCTAATTTATCCGTCATTAGCACATGTGTGTACTATAGCACGTTGTTATCAAATCATGAACTAATTAGGCTTAAAAGATTTGTCTCGTAAAGTAGTCGTAATCTGCATAATTAGTTATTTTTTAGTCTATATTTAATACTATATATATATATATATATATATATGTCAAATATTTGATTTGATAGGTTGTAAAATTTTGATTGAAGAACTAAACCAGGGCTGAATTGACGAGGAGCCGGGCGTCACGCTGCAGCAGCGGTTTCAGTGCACATCAAACCCATCGGGAACTAGTCAGAACGTAGGGCCGGCCGACACTGTGAAGGCCCCAAACTCAAATCTAATCATCATGCATGGGACATCTTTACTACAATGGACCAATAATAATTATATTATCCTCCAGTAAAGAGTCCCAGTGGAGAACCTCTAATCATTATACATTCAGAAAAATACATACAGAAATTCATATACATTAAAATCAAGGGCTAATAAAATATCTAAACTAAATCCATGACCATGATTTCATGTGGGATGCCAGTCTTCTCACCCATCAGCACCCTGCGCGCACTCTGCCTCACACACACGCCTTCAAACGCGCCCCACGCACGAGCAAGGATCGAAGGCTGCAAGCACGGAATAAAATAAGAAGGAAACGCCGTGCAAGCAACCGTTGATCCCGCCGCCACCGCCATGGACCCGCCGCCTCCTCCCTCCGCGCACGCCTCGCCGACGCCAAGGCCGATGCCGCCGCATCTCGCCTGCGCCACATAGCCATTGCACTGGCCCGTCTCCCGGCACCGCCGGCCCACCTCCCAACATAGCGCAAGCGTGTGGCCGCGTGCGGAGGCCGCTGCTACTAAGCCGGCCAAGCAGCCGTCGTCGGCCCGTAGCCATCTTGCTCGCGCCTCCGCTTGCCTCCCGCTCCCGCCGCCGCCCCCAATGATGCGTGGTCTCCTTCGACACAATGGTAACAATCATGCCCTATCCTTTCCTGTTCCCTAACTCCAACTCGATTCGTTAGGGTTCGAGTTTAAGGCGACTTGGATTTGTGTGCTTGCGTGTGTGCAGAGGCCAGGGCGCCAGGCCAGGCTGCCTCCCCTGACCGCGAGCACCTAGGGCGGCCAGGCTCCATGTGTCCAGCAGCCGTCGCCGAGGTCCTCTCTCCATCCGGGCCTCCAACGCCTGGTTCAACCCCGCCGACCCTCTCGCCGAGCACACCACCAGGCTAACACCGCAGCACTACCAGACGCGACAGAGAGTCACCCCGCTGCCTAGCCCTGCTCGTTGTGGAGGCGTGCACGGCTCATCCTCACGCCACCAGGCCGCACGCCGCTGCCAGATGTAAACTTTCATTGGTAAGCTCACCACATGGCCCATGCCCACCTTCCCTTTTGGTTTTTGCGCCTCTTCCCCGTCTCTCTTCTACTCGCCTGATGTAGCGGACCAGCGCTCATTGTGATTACAGTCCTGATGCTCTCTATTTTGATGAAGTGCATGCACCAAGGCTATATAGACTGCAAGGCGTTTGATAGAATGCTTACAAAGCAGACTTGGGGTAGGATAGTGATTGTCTGGTGTAGCCCCTTTACTCTAACCGCATCAAGAGCAGACCTCTCGATCATATGCCAGGTCAGATTTCCCCCCCCCCCCTTTATTTAATGGTTGATTTAGTCTGTAATGGCTGCGCAAGATAGCTGATGAGAGGAGATGACTCCTCCATGACCTCAAAATTTGCCAATAAATTTGTTCATACATATATGTTTTGAAAAATACTATTAATTTGCCTCTAAATCTGGTCTCAATATTATATTTGTACACCATGTAGAATTTTTTTTGGAATGTAGCTTCACACCATGATTACTAAAGGAGCAGGATTGCGGGGTCAAGGTTGATCAGGTCAGATGTTTGTTGTCCATGTCATTGTAGATTGTTTCCCTTTTACCAATGTGAATGTCAAATTATTAGTAGATACAATAAAAGATGGTAGTCTAATAGAAAATTGGTTACTGCGTATTAACAAAAAAGTCCAGAATGTTGGTCCAATAGCTGTGTAAAACATATATTACTGACACACTTCACTCATGAGGGTGCATCGTTCCACATGATTACAGTAGGCAGTATCACCATTACAAGGTCTGAGGAAGTACCAGCATAATCCTAAAGGCAAGTATCAAAAATATTTTCTTGTCAGGAAGATGTGAAGCTTATGCATGAGATGGGTTTAGATGCTTACATATTCTCCATTGCTTGGCCAAGGCTGATTGCATGTAGGTAATTTTACAGTAGCAAGTTTTTCCTTTTAAAAAAAACAATTCTGCATCTGAATGTATGTATTCTTAAAAAATTGTGATGTCCTTGTGTAGATGGAGGAGGAAAGATCAACCCAAAAGGCTTGGAATACTACAACAATCTCATAGATGAACTGATACTGTGTGGTAAGGCGATGCAACTGTTACTTTGTCGTAAGATTGAAGTACTGACCCATGACCCCAAGCATTATTGACTTGTTGTCATAGCTTCTTAATTTTTCCCTGAAAAAAATTGACTTGCTATCCTTTCATTCCTGAACAAACTGGCTCCATTCTTCCTGTCATGTATGTAGGGATTCATCCTCATGCCACCATCTATCATTTCGATCTTCCTCAGGTCCTTCAGAATGAATACGGTGGATTTCTCAGCCCTAGATTCATGTAAGTGCTGAGCGAGAAGCCTCCTTCAGCACCACAAAAAAGTGCATATATTTTGACCTGAAAGTTGCTTCTACCATGTTTTGCAGAGAAGAAATCCTCGCTTTTGTAGAAGTCTGCTTCAGGAACTTCGGGGATAGAGTAAAGCAATTCTGAAGTCAATTGCAATTTTCTCTTCAGGAATGATGGTGCGGGGGCGAAACTTTTCAGATCTGGTGATTGAGCGGGAGGTGTGCGAGTTCTTCTCCTTTTTCGGCCAAATCAAGCATGTCGAATCAGATTGTGAGCGCCTCTTGATTTCTTTCTCTATTTGTTGTGCCTCTTGTTTTTTATGTTTTAGTTGTGCTTTTCCCCCCTTTTCGATTTGTATTTTGAACTGCATTGTGATTTTGGCACCTGGTTGGTGGTTGTAGGCGATAAAGTGGCATCGGGGAGGACTGCCTACATCACATTCAAAGATCCCAAGGCTCTCGAGATTGCGCTTCACTTGTCAGTATGGATACAAATTATGATGGGCGATATCCAGCTGCTTCGCTGGGCTCAAACTCAGTTCCTTCAACAACAAGGAGGATGAGAGTACCTATAACTGTAATCAGATCATCTCCGCCTGATGTGTCACCCAGATCATCAGGCACAAGAAATAGGTGTAGTC